TTATCATTAGTCACTTTGAACGTGAATGGCCTGAACTGTCCAGTTAAAAGACACCGATTGGCTGATTGGGTTAAGGAACAAAACCCATCTATTGCTGCTTACAAGAAACACATCTTTCCAACAAAGATCCATACAGACTGAAAGTGAAAGGCTGGAAAAAGATATACCATGCCAACAGAAATGAAAAAAGAGTGGGCGTAGCCATCTTAATATCGGACAACATAAACTTTACCACAAAAACTGTTAAGAGAGACAAAGAGGGACACTATATCATGATTAAGGGATCAATTCAACAGGAAGATATAACAATTATCAATGTATATGCACCTAACTACAGGGCACCAGTTTATCTAAAAGATTTATTAACGGACTTAAAGGGAGACTTAGACCCCAATACAGTAGTACTGGGGGACTTCAATACTCCACTCTCAGAAATAGACAGATCATCCGGTCAGAAGATCAACAAGGATACAGTAGATTTAAACGACACTATAGCCCAAATGGATCTAACAGATATATACAGAACTCTCAATCCTACAGCTAAAGATTTTACATTCTTCTCAGCAGTACATGGAAGCTTCTCTAGGATTGACCACATACTAGGCCATAAAGCGAGTCTCAGCAAATTCAAAAGAATTAGAATCATACCATGCAGCTTCTCAGACCATAAAGGAATTAAGTTGGAAATTACCAACTCAGGAATCCCTAGAGCATACACAAACACATGGAGATTGAACAACATGCTCCTGAATCAACAATGGGTCATAGAAGAAATCAAAAGAGAAATCAAAAACTTTCTGGAAGTAAATGAGGATAACAGCACAACATACCAAAACTTATGGGACACAGCAAAAGCAGTGTTAAGAGGAAAGTTTATATCAATAGGTGCCTACATCAAGAAATTGGAAAGACACCAAATAGATGAGCTTTCCATTCACCTCAAGGATCTAGAAAACCTACAGCAAATCAGACCCAAATCTAGTAGGAGAAGAGAAATAATTAAAATCAGAGAAGAAATCAACAGGATTGAATCAAGAAAAACATTACAAAAAATCAGCCAAACGAAGAGCTGGTTTTTTGAAAAAATAAACAAAATTGACACCCCATTGGCCCAACTAACTAAAAAAAGAAGAGAAAAGACCCAAATCAATAAAATCAGAGATGAAAAAGGAAATGTAACAACAGACACCACAGAAATAAAAAGAATCATCAGAAATTACTACAAGGACTTGTATGCCAGCAAACAGGGAAACCTATCAGAAATGGATAGATTTTTGGACACATGCAACCTACCTAAATTGAACCAGGAAGACATCGAAAACCTAAACAGACCCATAACTGAGACAGAAATTGAAACAGTAATAAAGGCCCTCCGAACAAAGAAAAGCCCAGGACCAGATGGATTCACTGCTGAATTCTACCAGACATTTAAAAAGAACTGACTCCAATTCTTCTCAAACTATTCAGAACAATCAAAGAAGAGGGAATCCTCCCAAATTCTTTCTATGAAGCCAGCATCACCTTAATTCCTAAGCCGGAAAAAGATGCAGCACTGAAAGAGAATTACAGACCAATATCCCTGATGAACATAGATGCAAATGTGATCCCTGTTAAACATAAGAGTAGGAATAAGAGAGGGAAGAGATATATAATTTGGGACATGCTCAAGCTGACTTGCCCCAAATGGTAGAGTTAGAAACATACTAGGGGATTCCAATTTAATCCCATCAAGGTGGCATGTACCAATGCCATCTCACTAGTCCAAGTGATCAATTTCAGTTCACAATTGATCATAATGAAAGGACTAAGAGTCAAAGGGAGCACATAAACAAGTCTAGTACCTGCTAACACTAACCGATGGAATAAATAAAGGGGAGAGTGATCCAACATGGGAAGTGAGATACTCAGCAGACTCATAGAATGGCAGATATCCTAAATAGCACTCTGGCCTCAGAATCAGCCCTAAAGGCATTCGGATCTGGCTGAAAAGCCCATGAGAGTATTTCAGGCATGGAAAGCCAAGACACTCTGGCAAAAGATCTCTGTGAGTGAGATCTCAGTGGAAAGAACAGGTCTTCAAAGAAGGAGGTACCTTTCTCTGAAGGGAGGAGAGAACCTCCACTTTGACTATGACCTTGTCTAAACAAGATAAGAATCGGAGAACTCAGAGGGCTTCCATAGCCTTGGAAACTCATGACTGGAGCATAGGGAGATTACTGATGCCATAGACAGGAGTGTCAATTGGTAAAGTCAACAACAGGAGTCACTGTCCACTTATTCCTCATGTAGGATTTCTGTCCTTAATGTGCTGTGCAGGGAGCTTTAATCGTATAATGCGTAGTCAACCAATATATTTCACTGTGGGGGGCGCGCAACTGGGACGGCCGAACCAGCCGGCCTCCCCATCGTTCCGTTCTCGCCCCCAAAACCAAAAAAAAAGAAATTTTCAACTCCCAACGCGCTCCCACAGGGATGCCACAAACAATAGCCCGATAAGCTCTCATAATCAACAAAAAATCATGTATTATTTTTCACTTTATGTTTCTGTGTGGGAGCAAACTGTTGAAATCCATACTTAATGTATACTAAGCTGATCTTCTGTATATTAAGATAATCGAAAATGAATCTTGATGTGAATGGAAGGGGAGGGGGAGTGGGAAAGGGGAGGGTTGTGGGTGGGAGGGACGGTATGGGGGGAAAGCCATTGTAATCCATAAGTCGTACTTTGGAAATTTATATTCATTAAATAAAAGTTTAAAAAAAAAAGTATCACATTTACAGTAATATTTAAATCTTCAGGGTCTCTGCCGCAATTTATTGATGAGAAAGAAATCCCATCTTCCCGGTATCTGCCTTCCTCAGTTCTGCAAACAAACCCTCATCTGTGTCACCGTGTGCCACGCCTGGGTGGCCTGGGCATCATTATCCCGTTCCTTTTCTGAGAGGTGGACTCCAGGATAGCAGGAGGTGGTTTTTCATTTTTTGTTTTTAGTTTTTTTTTGCATTTACTCGGCACCAGAATCTGCAGTGCGAGGTTGAGTCTGCAGCTGCCTGCTGGTCTCACGGTCCTCCCTTTGCACTGAATGTGCTTCTTGGCAGCCTGTCGATGACGGCTCATGTGAGGCGCAGCCCAAGCTGGGGTGAAGAGCTCCGTCAGGCTCCCAGCAGCCCATGCGTGGCAGACTTCTTCCAGGACACTGACTGTGCCTCCCTGAGGACTGACGCTCACTCCCTCGGGAAAGCCAGCTCCTGCCCTGGTTCTCCTGGGCCAGCAGAACACCTGCTGCCTTCGTGACCAGGTTTCGGAGAGAGCGTTCTCCCTTGGGTAGGTTGAGGCCCTCAAAGGCTGGCTGGCCCAGGTCCGCGGCTTCCTCTTGAGTATTAGTCTTCTTTAAGGAAAGAGCATTTTCTCTCTCAGAGCCGACTGTTTCCTGAGGATCGCATCTGTCAAACACGTACGTATTTCCTCTCTGCCTGCTGTCCTCCACTTATTGTGTCTTTCTAATTAGAAGTGTGACAGATAAGTTTTCAAGGTTACTTCACACTCTGAGCTAGTTCATTTCCACAGGATGATGCAATTTTTGAGGGCATTGTCTGTGCAAACACACAAAGGAGCTAAGGACAGTTTTTTGCTAAATTCAAAGGCTGTCTGATCTCTGGCTCAGTCAAGATAACCAGCTACTGTGGAAAAATGTTTGTTTAGGGATCACATTCCACAGGCTGTCAGTCTGTAAGGCTCAAAATTGATAGGCAACTCTTGCAGACAATGAAACTATCAATGTGCGTGCACTGAATGTTTGGCTTCTTCCCTGTCCCCCAAATCCATATACTGAATGGGAACTGCCAACGTGATAGCATTTGGAGGTGACATCTTTGGGAGCTGATTAGACTTAAGTGAGGTCGTGAGGGTGGGGCCACTGTGATGGACTCAGTGTCCGTCTAAGAAGGGGAGGGGACACCAGGGCATGATCCCTCTGCCACGTGAGGATACAGTGAGAAGGCAGCCATGTGCAAGCCAGAAAGGCCGGCTCTTCCGTAGGGGCCCCAGTGGTTGGTGCCTTGAGCTGGGACTTTTTCAGCATCCAGAACTGTTGGAGTAAAGTTTCTATTGTTTAATTCACCTGATCTGTGATATTTCGTTTTGGCAAGCCATGATGACTAAGACATGCTGGATAAATAGAAATGGAAAAATTTATTTTATTTTGAACTTACCAGTCACGGGGGTTTTAATAGCTATTCCAAATTTCCCTCTACCTCTAGCCTTGATCAAATAGTGTATGGTGTGTAAGTGTTGTTAAATCTTGTTACCCCCCACCCCCACCACTATTAAGGAATCCTGTGATTAAAGAATAAGGAACAAAACTCAATATAAGAATAAAAGATTTTATTAGGGAAATTTCCATATAGGATTCTAGACTGGAATGGGTGGGTGATCTGGCCAAAGGCTGTAGCAGGATTTTTCTGCACAGAACAGCAGATGGGGGAAGATTTTGTGGTGTACAAATCTAGCAGGGAGGTGGGGTAGGAGCTGATGTCATCGCATTTCTTGGTTTGCGTCTGGAGTTAGCCCCGGATGCCCTGCTGCTCTTCCTGCCCTTATCAGGGAGACTTGTGGCAGTGCTTACGCTTTTGTGACCGGGGAATGGCCACTGTCGACTTGACTAGCAGCTGACCAGTCTTTCTGAGATAGATGGGGACTCAAAACGCTGGGGGGTGTGGTAGGATAAGGCGCAGGATGGCATTCCTGTGGGCTGCTGTCACGCACCGTCATGGGTGTGATGCAGGCAAGGAGGAGTTGTGCATCTAAAGCAGGGCTGTGTCCTAGAGGCTCCTGGCAATTGTTGGTGGCTGCTGCTGCTGCTGCTGCTGTTGACGAGGGGACTGTGGAGGCCTGGCTTACCCTCAGCATGACTGAACTTCAGGCACATTTCTTTCTGACCTCTCTCTGTTCAGAACATTTACTTTAGAAATCTTGTAAATTCTTTCCTACCAGTTTGAAACACAAGTGTATAAAAAAGCCCTTTTGCAACTTTTCAACTCAGGAAATACAATTATCGTTGGAATAGCACTCTACCTCACTGTCTCCTTTGGAAGGTAAGTGACTTGGGTCGTGTTGCATGACTAGCCCCTGCTATAAGGATACACACAGTTTCTTTTTCCTCTGGGTAATGTTAATGGCAAACCCATTCTACAAAACTTTCCCACTTTAAGCACCCAGTGCTTGGAATCCCTGTCACCTTTTGTTTCAGCAATTGAATACAAATTACACCCTGGCCCCCAATGCAGTAACCTGCGCCAAGGTGGTCTTTGCTTGTTTAATTTTGTACAGTGCAATTTTCACTTGCAGTGATGATTGTGATTATTTTCACGTGCTTGACCCTGAGGCTAGCAGGATGGTGGTTTAATGGAAATCGAGGAGAGCGAAGGGGAACTTGTTGAGTTTGGACATTTGGGATTTGGGATGGTGATTGACATTCAAGGGAAGAAACGGTTCTGGGGCTTCAGTGTACTGGCAGTGTTTAAAGCTCTCAGAAGAAGCAAATGTAGAGAAATGATTGGAAGGCCTAGGATGTGAACTTTGGTGAGGGCAGAGGAAGACTAAGAGTTGCCAGGAAAAAGACAGAAGGGTCACCAGTAAGTAGCAGAAACTCTCATGGAGAAACGAGCCCGAGTTTTAGATTCAAGTCTATTGGTAAAAGCATTGCCCCAGTGGTGGGGTGAGAGAAGCAGCTGTAAAGGGGGCATGTGTAGCTGATAATGAGTTCAGAAATTGTACATAAATCATTTCAGATTTTGGACAAAAGGAAGAAAAAAATGAGAAGCTGGAGGTTGGAGTAATTTTTTCCCTAAAACAGGCAAGATTTAAAGCATTTATCAAAGTTAGACTTGGAAAAAGCAACAGCAACGACCACCAAGAAGCACTGGTATTCAAGATACTAGAGAGTGAGCTGCTTTTGGTGTGGTAGAATATTATCTTGTAAGCAAATGATTTGAGTGTGTGTTTATGTATGTCTGTGCATTGAATGGGTAACTTCATCAGTATTAGATCTTTTCTATGAAACTAATTTTTTTCTTTGAAAATATATCTTGTGATGTTAGTCCACGATTTTCTTTATATAATAGCTTGAAAAAGCCAGCTGAAGTGGATTTTTCTCAACTTCTATTTTTTTTTAAAAGAAGAATTACTTAGGCTTGAGGGCAAGACTTCTTGCAAGTCAGAGGGTCAAAAAGCACATATTGCAGAGGAAAAAGCTTGTTAGAGAAAACTAATGGAGAAAGATTTTGTTTTAGAAAATAAATGCTTCATGTTGCTCCAGAAAATGAGAGAAAAAAGATAAACAACATTTTTCCTGAATTTTTGATTTGTAGATGAATAGTAGGAATAGATAGTATTATCATGGAATATTTTCAGCTGGGCTATGTAAGCACAGAGTTCACGTTCGTACACTGCCTCCTAAGTTCTTAGCTCTCTCAAATTCACGAACTGCCCAGTGCAGTGAGGGAAGTACTCGTGTTATCCCTGTTTTCACACTAGATAACATTCCCAGAGTTCCTCACCTAGAAGTAGAGTCAGAATGAGAATCCAGGTAGTCCTGAGCCACAGTTTATGTGCACTGCACTCTGCTGCCTCTTTGAGTGTGGATGGAAAATAGAAGCTGTGGCTTCATAAGTGGGATTTAGTGCTTCGACATGTATCTATGTATCCCTCAAAATACTTGATGGACCTCATGTGCAAAATACAGACCTCTGGAGAGCCCTTTATGCTTGGATTATAAGGCAGGGTCTCTCTTTTCAAAGTGATGATTTGTGGAAAAATTCTTGGAGCTGTATTTTCCGTGGGTAACATGCTTGGGGGGGCACATTTTCCTGCTTGGGAGCAGGGCTACGGTTGCTTGAGGGATGAATGTAATATACACATTTTAGAATGGGACGTTGCATTCCTGGTCAGGCATTATATCCTACATTTAGGGATGAGGAATACACATTTTAAACAAGATATTTCCTGCCCGAAGTATTTCTGTCCACATTACATTCAAGTTTCACTCCACAGAATAGAGCAGAGGGTTCGTGTGGCAGAAAGTGGTGGCAGCAGCGGAAGAGGGAGAGCCAAAGCCGAGGGAGTGATCAAGGTAAGGAGATGGGAACTGGAGAGAGATTTCCTCCCAGGAACTGGCTCACTCAGTTATGGAGGTCTCATTGGCAAGAGGGGACCCAGAAGGACTCCAAGTGTCATGCCAAAATCCAAAGCCCTAAAATCAGAGCTAGCGGCGTTAAGTCCTGACCTGAGTCCAAAGTTGGAGAAGACCATAGGGGATTTGTAGCAAATGGACAGAGTGAGGCAGTCCCTGGGTGGAAATGACTAAAAGAAACTGGGTTAGTGGGGAAAGTAGAACTTGATTGGATATTAAAGATTGGGGGGATTTTTCTAAACTGACTTAGCATGATTCTTGCTAACACGGAATTCCGTTGTATTCTTTGATAAAACTAGGCTCAGCAAATAAGCCCTAGCCAAGAAAAGGCTCCAAGGAGTGAGTGAAGTCTTTTCCAGGAGAGAGTCCTTGTCCGCAACCAAGGATTGTTATGGTGCAACTGAGCAGTCTCAGGCAAGGTGAATTTCTCCTCCAGCCGAAAGCGGCGCTGGTTGAAGCCCTCTAGCTTCTTGTTGTTAATAGCTTCTCGAGTCACAGGAGTGCCACCAACACTCGTTTTCTGCCCCTGGTTTTATTCTCGCAGGAACCCTGTGAGGTAATTCCCACTGCTCTCCCCCATCACAGATGAGATAACTAAAGCTTGTGAGGTGAGGTGACTTTTCCCGGGTCACACAGGTGACAGGTGGGAGCCGAGTGCTACAGACCATGGTCTTCACTACCAAGCCATGCTGCGCTATTCTGAGGGTCTCCCCCTCCAAAGCTCACCTGTCTCCTTCCTCGTGGAGAGCACTCTGATTTCAGGGTCTGTTCTTCCCCCCGTGTTTGGGTCTGTACCAGCCTTTTGCTTTGCTATATGTTGACTGTTAGGTTCTCCACAGTCACTGCCCAATTTGAACTCTTTATGTCCTTGTAAATGCCATTCTAATCTCCTTTAAGAAAGCACAATGGTGTGCAGGGTCGTGTCCTTCAAGTGGGAGAACAGGGGTGCATTGTAATCGCATCTCTGGCTTCTAAGCAATCCCTTACTAATTTGTGTGCCATTGAGTATGGATTCTATGTTTTATGCAATACAGGAAAATAGATCAACATTGAGGAAGATTAACAATACCAAATAATGTTAAAATTTGTATTGTCATAGAAAATAATTCAAATTGGATTTTACAGGTGCTCAAATTTTATACATAAGGAGTCATGATCTTCAAGGAAAAGAGATTTTGCAATCTGACTTGTAAATAATTATTTGGGTGACTCTTGCACTTACGCAAACTGGAAAATCACTGCCCTGAAAGGTATACAATATTTTTTATTTTAATAAAAACATATCTTAATTTTGTCACTTTTATTAGAAATGTCTTAGGCTGATAAAAATAGATTGGATAAGCCAAGGAATAAAAACGCATGCTTTTTATTCAGTTCGAGCTTTCTTTGAAAGAGTCTTAGGATTAAATTGCATTTGTGTCATTTTGAAAATGTTCCCCTGTCCTTTGCTTCTTCCTCTCTTTTATTCCTGAAGAACAGCCATGAAATGGCATAAGCGTGCCCACCGGAAAATCTGGGTTGCAACCTGGAGATGAACTTGGCTGAAATCACTATTTGCAGAAACGCATAGTTCCTTAGCCATCTGAAAACATTCTTGTCATGATGGAAAGCAGGTGTGACACAGCCGGAAGGCAAGGGTTGCCATGGTCACAGCAAAAACCTTCAGGCAGCTCAGATGCTTGGAGAGTAGGCTTGACAAAGTCCGTATAATGCCTGATCCTTCCATAGCCCAGACAGAGAACATCGTCTAGGGAAGTCTGAGTGCTCACGATGGACCCATGTGTGATCTGACAAAATAATCCTGGAACGTTCCCTTTTACCCATATATTTTGGTGTCAAAACCACTGACATGGGTCAAAAACCCTATCTGGGAATACACTAGTGATGCTCACTTGTGCCTTCGAACGAGGTATTACCTAACAATTAGAATTAGATTTTGGAGGCACATTGCAAGATTGTGACATAGGCCACACCATGTGTTAACTCATCTGATTCTGAGCAGGAGACTTTACTTTTCTGCACCTCATTTTCATTTCTGTAAAGCGGAGGATGATAATTGCGCCTCCCTCCTGGAGGGCTTCATGAGCATTAAATGAGAAAATGCAGGTGAAGCATTTGGAAGTGTGCCTGGCACACACACTGCTTAGGAAAGATGAGCTAATGTGTTTTACAATGAGTAACAAATTGAGCGATTCACATTAAAATGAAGAACTTTGGGAAAATGTTTAATCCCTGAATGTTAGCAATTTTACGATACATGGAGTCCAGCTGGGAGTGTGTGTACTTGTGTGTGCATGTGTGGGATGCTGGGAAGAGTGAAGGACAGAAATCCAGGTGCTGGTGGTTCATCTCGTGGTATTAAGGGTAGGGAATAAAATCACTTCCAAGGAGTACAAAGTTTCTTCAAAACTGTCTTGAACTTAATTTGTCACTTTGAATAGAAATATCTTAGGCTGATAAAAATAGATTGGAATGAAAACATATGCTCAGTTTGAGCTTTATTTGAAAGCGTGTGTTTACCTTTGGGAAGGTCTAATTCTAAGGTTAGAATTATTCTCTTTGGGGAGCAATGAGGCTGCTCTGGGGAAAGCACCATATTGAAGCCATGTCTATGTCCTTGAGTTTATCGAGGAAAAATTTAGTTTCTTTGATCCATTTCCTCATTAGAATGATCCAGAGAAGGACACAGCTTGTCAAGGTGCTCAGTATCAACACAGGGACCTGGGAAAATCCAGGGCGTCCCCTGAATCTGCAGTAGGATTTTGGAGGCAAAGGTAGGGACATTCACTGACTAATCTACCGAAACCAAAGACTTGGCCTTTACTTTCCACACTGTGTTCCAACAAACAGGGCAACAGGTAGAGTGCTGTCATCAGCAGGCTTACAAGCAGCCCGGCAAATGCTCTTACCAGTCAGTTAGGGATGAACTTGCGGGGAGAGACCACAAGGGTTATTTCTTTAGATCAGAAAGTATTGCTCTTCTGAAGCTGTGTTTTCTTCTTGCCATCTGATCTTCCTGCTCCTCAGTGAGCCACTTCTTTTTGCTCTTTTGTCAGAATAGCATTGGGAGAGTGTAGTAGCCTCAGGTTGCTTATGTTAGGTTCTTTTTTTTTTTTTTTTAAATTTTTTGACAGGCAGAGTGGACAGTGAGAGAGAGAGACAGAGAGAAAGGTCTTCCTTTGCCGTTGGTTCACCCTCCAATGGCCGCCACGGCCAGCACGCTGCGACCGGTGCACCACGCTGATCCAATGGCAGGAGCCAGGTGCTTCTCCTGGTCCCCCATGCGGGTGCAGGGCCCAAGCACTTGGGCCATCCTCCACTGCACTAGCGGGCCACAGCAGAGAGCTGGCCTGGAAGAGGGGCAACCGGGACAGAATCCGGCGCCCCAACCGGGACTAGAACCCGGTGTGCCGGCGCCGCAAGGTGGAGGATTAGCCTCGTGAGCTGTGGCGCCGGCTTATATTAGGTTCTTAAGCATCACTATCACTGTATACATCTTCTTCTGTTTTTTTTTTTTTCCTAAAAGAATAGGATTCTTACTTTATTTGAAAAGGTCAGGGAGGGGGGGAGGGAGAGAGAGAGAGAGAATAAATGAATGAATGAGTGAACATGCCCCTTATAGCATGAGGTGTACCAACCAAAGCCAGGATCCTGGAACTCAATCCAGATGTTCCATGGGGTGGCAGGGATCCCAATACCTGAGCTGCCTCCTCTGCCTCCCAGGGTGCTCATTAGCAGTGACTTGGAATTGGGACGTGGAACCAGGACTTGAACCCACATGACTTTCATGCGATATGTGAGTATCCCAAGTAATGTTCTACCTGTTGAACCAAATGATAATCCCATTGCTATGCTGCTGCTTCTTAAAAGATTTATTTATTTATTTGAAAGGCAGATAAAGGAAGAGAGGGAGAGAGAGAGAGAGAGAGAGAGAATATGTTCCATCTGCTGGTTCACTCTCCAAATGCCCACAACAGCTGGGGCTGGGCCAGGCAGAAGCTAGGAGTCTGGACTCCATTCGGATCTCCCACAGTGGCTGGTAGGGACCCAAGTACTTGGGCCACCTTCTGCTGCCTTCCCAGATGCACTAGCAGGAAGCTCTATTGGAAGTGGAGGAACTAGGACTTGAACTGGCACTCTGATATGGGATGTGGGGGATCTTACCCACTGTGCCACAACACCTGCTCCAGCTGGGTCCTGTTCTTAAAGAAGAACACCTCAACCAATGGTATTAGGTAGAACAAACAAAAATACTAAAAGTGATATAGTATTAAATTGTACATCAACAGTGATGGTAAGGGCTGATCAAGTCATTGTTTCTCATAGTGTCCATTTCACTTCAACAGGTTTCCTTTTTGATGCTCAGTCAGTTGTCACCGATCAGGGAGAACACATCATATTTGTCCCTTTGGGACTGGCTTAGTTCATTCAGCATGATGTTTTCCAGGTTCTTCCATTTTGTTGCAAATGACCGGATTTCATTGTTTTTTTACAGCTGTATAGTGTTCTATAGAGTACATGTCCTATAATTTCTTTATCCAGTCTACTGTTGATGGGCATTTGGGTTGGTTCCAGGTCTTAGCTATTGTGAATTGAGCTGCGATAAACATTAAGGTGCAGACAGCTTTTGTGTTTGCCAAGTTAATTTCCTTTGGGTGAATTCCAAGGAGTGGGATGGCTGGGTCGAATGGTAGAGTTATATTCAGGTTTCTGAGGAATCTCCAAACCGTCTTCCATAGTGGCTTGACCAGTTTGCATTCCCACCAACAGTGGGTTAGTGTCCCTTTTCCCCCACATCCTCACCAGCATCTGTTGTTGGTAGATTTCTGAATGTGAGCCATTCTAACTTGTTCCACTTAATACCATTGGTTGAGCTATGTAATTAACACACAATTATTCCTAGGTGTTTAAATTTAACTGAAAAGTGATCCCTGTTAAATATAACAGTGGGAATAAGAGAGGGAGGAGACGTACAATTTGGGACATGCTCAATCAGACTTGCCCCAAATGGTGGAGTTAGAAACATGCCAGGGGATTCCAATACAATCCCATCAAGGTGGCATGTACCAACGCCATCTCACTAGTCCAAGTGACCAATTTCAGTTCACAATTGATCACACTGATAGGTCTAAGAGTCAAAGGGATCACACAAACAAGACTAGTGTCTGCTAATACTAACTGATAGAATCAAAAAGGGAGAGAACAATCCAACATGGGAAGTGGGATACACAGCAGACTCATAGAATGGCAGATGTCCTAAACAGCACTGGCCTCAGAATCAGCCCTTAAGGCATTCAGGTCTGGCTGAAGAGCCCATGAGAGTATTTCAGGCATGGAAAGCCAAGACACTCTGGCAAAAAAACAAAAAACAAAAAACAAAAAGAAAAAACAAACAACAAAAAAACAAAACACAACAACAAACTAAATGAAAGATCTGTGCGAATGAGATCCCAGTGGAAAGAACGGGGCCATCAAAGAAGGAGGTACCTTTCTTTCTCTGAAGGGAGGCGAGAACTTCCACTTTGACCATGGCCTTGTCAAAATAAGATCAAAGTTGGCGAGCTCAGGGGGCTTCCATAGCCTTGGCAACTCATGACTAGAGCCTGGGGAGACTGCTGATGCCTTAAACAAGAGTGTCAATTTGTTAAGTCAACAACAGGAGTCACTGTGCACTTACTCCTCATGTAGGATCTCTGTCCTTAATGTGTTGTTCAATGTGAATTAATGATATGAATAGTGCTCAAACAGTATTTGGCAATTTGTGCTCTGTGTGGGTGCAAACTGATGAAATCTTTACTTAATATATGCTAAATTGATCTCCTGTATATAAAGAGAAATGAAAATGAATCTTGATGTGAATGGAATGGGAGAGGGAGCGGGAGATGGGAGGGTTGTGGGTGGGAGGGACGTTATGGGGGGGAAATGCCATTGTAATCCATAAGCTGTACTTTGGAAATTTATATTCATTAAATAAAAGTTAAAAAAAGAAGAACACCCTCAAGCCTTGTGTGTGACACACAGTTATAATGGCCAAAGTTTTCTACATCAAGTTATATAAGGTGATGTAAATTATTGGGCTATTTAAAGATGTAATTTTCCACGACTCCCATTCATTTCACCATGTTCTAGGTACCAGGAAGCCAGATGTCAAGGAAGATAAAGATATGAGGAAGTGGGAAGTTTCGGGACTTGTAGTTACTCCTGTACTCTCAGTTCTTAGTTTTAGTTCTGCACTCTTTCCTTTATTTTGACTTCTTCCATTGTTGCTGTTGATTTCTCAACAATGTTGCAGTGGATTCATTTCTGAGAGGAGGAGCATGGTGGGGGCAAGAGGCGCGGAGTCACCACACAGACCCCGGAGTCGGGTGAAAGCAGGCCTGAGACGAGCAGCCCGCAGACTCATTTATTTCGGTTGGTACCACATCTTATATAGCCAAGACAGCCAATCCAGTCAAGGGGCGGTATATGCCCCAACCAATCACAGCCTGTTGCCAGGCAGTTTCCAAAGCCATCCAATCACGGCCTGTTGCCAGGCAGGCTCTTGTTGCCAGGCAGTTGCTGAAGCCATCCAATCACGGCCTGCCGTCAGTCAGGCTCTGTTGTCATGTGGTTTCCTCTGTTGTCATGTGGTTTCCGAAGCCATCCAATCACGGCCTGTTGCCAGGCAGTTTCTGTTGTCAGCAGCCATCATGGCATGACCTTTTCACCTCAGTGGCCATCTTGACATGACCTTTTCACCTCATTCCACCACAATCCCTTTTGTGTGATTTCATTCGTCTTACTGTCTCATTTTCCTCTAATTCGTTCCAGTGCCCTCCTGATTCTAGGCAGACACTGCTCTTACCAGTTTTGGCCTCCCACTTTCTTTATGACTGTTTGAGATAGTTTTCTATGTGTGTGGCTGTAAGCCGGGAGGTGTTTACTCTTTAGGACCCTAATCTCCCTCAGCCAGGGAATACTATAATGAGGTAATCTTGTTTATTTTCTCATGGAGAGTTTTTGTTCATTTCCTGGCATGTTGCAGCGTCACTGAAGACTACTTTAACTACCTTATATGAGGGCTCTTCAAAAGTTTCATAGAAAATGTGTATTATTTAAATAAAACTTTGCATGGGTATCAAATTATTTTGTACCCAAATAAACCTGTCTTTTAATTACATGTAAAATGTATTTATTTATTTGAAGGGCATAGAGGCACAGAGACAGAGATCTCCCTTTGGTTAGTTATTGCCCATATGTCCATGACAGCTGAGACAGGACCAGGTTGAAGCCATGAGCGGGGAACTAAATCTGAATCTCCAGCATGGGTGGAAGGGACCCAGCTATCTGACGCATCCCGTGTTCTTTCCTAAAGTTCGCATTCCTAGGGAGCTGGAATCAGGAGCAGAGCCAGGACTGGAATACTGACAATCTTTTATTCTTATAAGTGTTTGTTCGGAGAGTAAGAGTTACATAGAGACAGGGAGAGGTAAAGAGAGATATCTTCCCTCTGCTGGCTTACTCCCCAGATTGATGCAAAGGCCAGGGCTGTGCCAAGCCTAATCCAAGGACCAGGAACTTCCTTTGGGTTTCCCTCATGGGTATTAGGGGCCCAAACACTTGGGGCATCTTCTACTTTTCTCCCCAGGCCATTAGTAGGGCGCTGGATTATAAGTGGAGTGGCCGGGACACGAATCGGTCCTCACAAGGGATGTTGGGGTTGCAGGTAGAGGCTTTGCCTGCTGTGCCACAAAGCCAGCCATAGAATTCTGCTACTCTGACATGGAATGTGGGCCACCCAAGCAGTATCCTAACAACTCTGCCAAAACCCGCTTCAAGTGCATTTTTCCATGAACTTTTTGAAGTCCTTCACATCTATCAGCTTTGTGCCGAGTAAAAATGCTCAAGTCTGAGATTTAAGGAAAGTGTCCTTACCTTCAAATATTTAACCATGTCTAAATTATGTAGATAACTAAAGCAGTTAGCAATAGCACATTATTTGCTGCACATATTTAAAGGTAAGTGGGAATATGCAAATTTTAAGAAAAATATCTAGGGATGACAGGGCATTTTTAGCTTTAAGTGTGGTCTTTAATCATTATGGTCTGAAACCTTCACATGGGTAAAAAATGCATGGCAGGTTCAACTGTGTAGGGAGCACTGTTTTGGTTTTAAAGGTATTGCCACTTGCTACTGTACTAGTCATTGGCACAATTATTTTATAAATTTTTACAGTCATAATATTTTAAATCCAGCCAGGAGAAAATAAAAGGCATTTCAATGGGTTTTTTGAAGGATAATTGGCAGACAAATAGTATTCACTTTGCTAAAAAATGTAAGATTTGTTGAATTTGACACTTGTGAGACTGTCACCACCACCCGCACAATGAATACACCTGTCATCCTCTTCATGTTTCCTTGTCTCCCCCACTCCTACCACTTCACTGAGACAAACCCTGGGCAGCTTCCTACCAGTATGGGTTAGCCTGCACTTTTGAGTTTCATAAAAATGGAGTCATGCAGTATGCCATGCTACTTCATCTGTTCTTCCACTCAGGGTAATTACTTTGACGTTCATGGATGATATATGTATTCCTTGTTTTATTTCTGAGGATTATTCCATTATATGGATATGTGCATCTATGCATCCATTTTCCTATAGGTGAATTTCTGGATTGTTTCTGGATTTTGGCTAATATGAACAGAAGTTCTAAAACATTAGTCATGTTGCAAATAGCTCACAAAAGTATTAAATAATAAATAAGAATAAAAACAATAAAAGCACTTGCAGTTCATATGATACTATCAAGAAAATAAAGAGCAGGTTTGGATGTTGGGTACATGAGATGAAGCTGCTGCCTGGGACAGCTGTGTCCCGTATTGGAATCACATTCGATTCCTTGCTGCTCTGCCTCGGAGCCATCTTCCTGCTAATGGCACCCTCGGAGGCAGTAAATGGCAGAAGTTCTTGGACTCCTGCTACTTATGTGGGAGACCCAGATTGAGTTCTGGGCTCCTGCTTCAGCCTGGCCCAGTCTTAGCTGTTATTAGTGTTTGGGGGAGTGGAACAGCAAATGAAAGGTTTCCCTCTTTCTCTCTCTCATTTTGTCTTTTCTGAAAATTTTTTAAATTTATTTTTCTTTCATTTTCCATTTTATATAAAGGGAACAAATTTCATGTGCTTAATATATATAGTTTTAAGAACATAATGATATTCTCCGTTCTACCCTGTCTGCCTCCCTGCCTCCTCTTTCCTTTCTTTTTTAATTTTTGCAATGACGTACGTACTTTTATTAAGTGCAAAAAGACCCTAGTTTAATAGAACTATAGACAATAACTATAAACAATAATTGAATGGAAAAATGACCATTTTGCCCATATACAATAAATTTTAAGGTAATCACAGATCGTTGAAACTATAATAGTGTAACATTCTTAACCACTGGTTTGACAAAGATGTAAAACAAGGTTTTACAAAACTGTATTTGCATCAATACTAATATATAAGGCATCTCTTTTCCTCTCCCTCTCCCCCTCCCCCTCCCCTTCTTCCTCCCTTAATTTTAGCTCCTACATATATGGAAGAGCACATGGTTTTTGTCTTTTTGTATCTGGCTTGTTTCACTAAACTTGATGTTCTCCAGTTGTGTCCATATTACTGCAAATGATAGAATTCCATCCTTTTTCATGGCTGAAAGTATTCCATGGTGTGTATGTACCATATTCCTTTTATCTATGCATCTGCTGATGCACACCTTGGTTGACTCCAGGTGTTGGCTGTGTGAACAGTACTGCTGTAAACGTGTTGGCGCAGGCATCTCTTTGACACAACGTGTTCAAGTCTTTTTGGTATATACCAGGTAGTGGGATGGCTGAATCACACGGCAAGTCTCTTTCTAGCTTTTAAAGAAGTCTCCATACTGTTTTCCACGGTGGCTGCACTGATTCACATTCCCACCAACATTGTATGAGTGTTCCCCTTTCTCTGTATTCTCACCAACATTTGTTACTCTCTGTCTTTTGGGTAATAGCCTTTCTGACGGGGGTGAGGTGCTCTCTCATTGTGGTTTTGATTTGCATTTCTCTGATGGCTGATGTTGAGTGATGTTGAACATTTTGTCACACATTTGTATTCTTTATGAGAACTGTATATTGAGGTCCTTTGCCCATTTCTTAACTGGATAAGTTGGTGGTTTTTTGTTGTTGTTGTTGTTGTTGTTGCTGAGTTTTTAAGTTGTTGATGTATTTTGGATATTAACCCTTTGTCAGATAGATTGCTTTCACATATTTTTCCCAATCTGTTGGATGTCTCTGTACTCTATTAGTCATTTCCTTTGCTGTGCAGAAGCTTCTGGGTTTGATATAGTCCCATTTGTTTAGTTTTGCTTTTGCTGCCTGTGCTTTAGGGATTTTTATCCAAGAAATTGTCCCCTTAACCAATGTCTTAGAGTGTTTCCTTTATGTTTTATTCCAGCAACTTCATAATCTCCGGTCTTAAATTTAGGTCTTTGATCCATCTTGAGTTGATTTTTGTATATGATGAGAGGTATGGGCAAAAGATTTGAACAGGCATTTTTCAAAAGAGACATTCAAATGGCCAGCAGACACATGCAAAAATTCTCAGGATTACTAGCCATTAGGGAAATGTAAATCAAAACCACAATGAGGTTTCATCCAAAAATCATCCTATAATCAAAAAACAATAGATGCTGGTGTGGAGGTGTGGAAAAGGTACTTGTCGCTCTCCGTCTTCGTGGAGGAACGACACAGGACCCTGCGCTGTTCTTTCGTCTGCTCGGCCCTCCCCGGGTTTGCTGCTGGTTCTTCCCGGGTTGGCTACTGTCCCTTCCACCTCCGTGGAAGGGCGGTTCCCCCTGCCACATTCCC